AATTTTGATTCTGCCTCTATTCTTATGTTTCCCTTTTATATAAAAATTCACTTTCTCATCTCTTCATTTTACTTACTTGGATACCTCAATTTAATTTTTTCTTGCTGTTTTCTACCCCTATAACTTATTAGGTCTCCTGAACATCTTTTGGGTGATCTACCAATTTGGGAAATTATAGGAAGAGAAAAACACAGTGCTCTTTCAAGTGATAAAATATGAAAATCATATACCCTGTGGTGGCTAGCTTTATATTCCTTCATAAGTTATTCTCTACAAGATGGTACTGCACATTGTAGGAAAAGCTTGGGCCCAAGCTGCCCATTTATACTGCACATCAAATTTAATAGTAGCGTTCTGGCTCTAATTAAACTCTTCCTGTTATAAATCTCAGCAAGTTGATCTGATTAATAGAGGAAATGAACACCCAGCACAGTTAGTGTAAAGCTATTAAACAGATGAAACAAGGTAAAATAATGTGTAATAATCTGTGGGGGTGGGAGACATATCTCTACAAATGTGCCTATTCCACTGTTATGCATGTGTGATCAGAGCATTCATTCTTTAGTAAGTTTTCTTTGTTGGAAGAGTTAAAAACTTCCTGGATAGTTTAGTCTTGAACAGCTAGCATACTGGCTGTATCTGGTTTCCTCTGACACAACTATTTTGGCTTACAGAGCTTGACTCCGTTTTACTTTTGTAGTAAATGAAGGTGCACCACCTTTTTGAAGGGTTATTTGTACTTTTCCCCTCTTATGCTACCTTCTTACTTTGTGAATTATGGGGTTACAAAGACTGGATACATTTGGCTGTATAGTTAATTAGGGAGAGCCTGAAGTTTCTCATAGGACTGTTTTGAAACAGGGGCATTCCTAGGAATAGGAACTTTAAAAAACGTAGGCCAGTTAATCTTCATGGGAGGAAAGCTCAAAAATATTATTGTTTAGGTCCAGGAAAATGCCTCAACCTTTCAACTGTCTTCAAAATAGAATACAAATCCCAAGGGAAGGAAAAAAAAAAAAGTAAAAGAATGAAGAGAAAAAAAATCAACCCAAGCTCTACACATGTCTATATTTCTTCTCTAATTTTGTTGGAACAGTGTCACAACTGGATGCCCTGTGTGTGTGTGTGTGTGTGTGTTAATTTTCTTCTTAGCAATTTCCCTATTAGCATGAGGTTCTTGAGTTTTTGTACGTAGAATCATTATTCAAAAAAAAATTAAATGAGAGAAGGTTTGATTATCTACATTTTCATTTTCTTGTGAAGCAAATAAGGTAAGCTCTGTAGATGCTAGCTAGGCTGAAACATTATTGAAAAATGCAATTCAGACTGAGTCACTGCTCGTTATTTTTATAAGTGAGACCCTAATTCTGATCGACCCCAAAGAATGGGTGCCATGACTAAGCAGGAAGCATAAGGCAACTGGCTTCTGCGGATGTTATCTCATTTGGAACACATTTCAAACTTTAGAACAGATTTTTAAATTAGAAGTTGAAACCTGCAGACTGTCAGCAGAAGAGGCTGCTTCACTCCCATAGAACTTATCTTACTTTAAGTTCGAGTTTTTAAAGAAGTAGGTTACCTGAAATGTGTTGTGATACATCAAAGGGAGGAATAAAAGACGCCTCCCAGAATAAGGGTGACGCATGCATCTAAACATCTTTTGGACTTTTAATATATGCTTATTTGAATAGGAAGCACTAGTTCAGTAAAACCTGGTGAATGTTCGTGGATCTCTAAAAGGTTACTGAAATTATTTTTCTGCAAATATTTCTTTAGTGGTGGGGGTTCTTCATGTGGAACTTTTCAAGTTACAGCTATAATGCCATTATTATTATTATTGGGTAAATTTGAATGAAAGAAGTATAGTCTTGACAAGGTCAGAAATAAGGAAAATCTTATATTGATGGTGGTGAATTCCTTATTAATTGGTCATTGCTTTTCTTTGAAATCAGAGACTAGTTACCCAAAGTCTGGATATCCAGAAAACTGTGCAAATACTCTAGAGTGCCTTACATTAGACGAACTACACAAATGATAATCTGTAATGAGAGCCACTGTAATGACTTTGACCTGGCTTGAATGTCAAGGTAGTACTTGGAAAATACTAACTTGTCTATGAAGCAAGGGCTGTTATGTGCTTATCACCTTAGATAACAAAATCCATGATGCAACTGAACTACAGGGAGAAATGCATGGAGTGACCCACTAGAGGTCCCTTCCAACTAAAAAAAATTTCTGTAGTTCAAAAGAGTAAGTTAAGTTGCCTTAGTAAGTTGGCACTCATGAGTGCAAAACAAGTGAGGGCCAGAAGGGGGGCTCGCACGTTATACTTCCTTAGGATGATGCATGGACTTAGTCAGAATATTCGTCACATTTTGTCTCTTTCTTTAGTCCCTATGTGGGACAATCACTCAATTAGCTCTAATTAGATATTCAGAACTTGTTGTTCCAACTCATTGATGTGTTTGCAGTAAGAAAGTATCATTTGATGCCCTGGAAATGTAGTTGTGCTTTCTAGAAATTGTAGCTGTTTCAAGTGTATCAGAGCAGTGTTTTGTAAGACAGATTTTTTTTCTTTCTTTTTTTTGTTTTTTTTTGTAAAATGGTAGAGTGCCTCAGTAAGTTGCAAAGCTGATGGAAGTGGTGGGTGGAAGAGGTAAAGTACATGTTTTCTGATAGTAGGCAACTTGGTAGAAAATGATTTTGTTTCTATATATTATCTTTGCAGAGTTATTAAGAAATGTAATTGCAATAAATTGATATAAAAGCCAGTTAGTAAAGGGACTAAAAGTCCCTATAGAGGCACCATTCTGTCACTTATAATGGCAGCAAAAGATAATTGGAGACAAGTACAGTAGAACTAAACCATTGCCATTTTCCTTCAAAAATGTGCTGCTGCCTCGCATGTTTTTCTGCAGAAATTAGTTGCTTCCTCTGCCTCAAGAGTATGCCATCAGCCATCAAAAGAGGTAGAAAAATATCTGCTTTTTATTTTCCTCCAATACCTTTTTAATAATTAGAACACACCAGAGAGCAAGAGTGGGTGAGATACGACCCTGTGCGATTGTGCTTTCCAGTAAATTGTTGGGTTCCTTTTAAGTTTCCAAGCTCTGTATTGAAAATCTGGCCTCTGGCATAAACTTTGCCCTCCTCCTTATGACATAATGAAGGCATCTGCTTGATCATATCCCCTTTCTTCACACAACTTACTTTCCGGTTCTCTAAGACAGCAAATACAGGGCCATGCAAGTGCTTTTACACAAAGGACGATGCTCAAGCTAAACTGGAAGAGTTTTGGTTTTTTTTTCTCATAAAGTAGAATCGTAAAGGTTTTCCTTTTTAGGTAAAGGCATCAGCAAGAAAAAATAAGCAATCCTTGGCCACTGTTTGTACAAGCAAATTTGTTATTCATTCTCAGAAGAGTTATGCCTTAACCAGGGATACCCCTGTGTTCTTTTCTGACACGGGGAGGAGTTTGCGCCTCCTGGATAATAAACACTCAAAAGCCCATATTTTTCATGTGCACCCCACCAGAGCAGCCATACATGTGCACACCAGCCCCTCCAGCAACATTCTCGCAGGAAAACCCTCTTCTTGTCCACATTATGTGCTTAGTAAGTGCAAGTGAAGATTTCATGAGACATGGGCCTGATATACTGCTTCAGTGTGACTATCATAATTAAAAGAGAGAGAGAGAGAGAGAGAGAGAGAGAGAGAGAGAGAGAGAGAGAGAGAGAGAGAGAGAGAGAGAAAGAGAAATATGTGGCTATTCCAGATGATTAAACTTCTTGGTTCCTAAACGTTCTCAGCAGTTAACTCAGGTGCACAGACCCTTGCATTAACAGGAACCTGCATGTAACTCCCCATAAAATATGGATTTTATTGCAGCAGTGACAACCCTTCTCAGCACCATGCTGACCTCTCAAGCATCTCCCAACTCAAGATCTCCAATAACTCCTGGCAGAAGAATATCTAACTACAGAAGTAATTCCAGCCCTGCAGCTGCTGCCGCACACAGCGTTGCAACGTCCCCCTTTTTAAAATTCCGGGTTTACGCATTGAGGGCTGCACTTCTCCTGCATCGGACACCTAACGCCAGGCGCACTCGGTCTGCTCTTGACCCAGTCTGGGGAGGCGTCCTACCCCAGCTTTGTGCCTGGCCAGCCGTGAGAGCACGAGCGAGCTGCATTTTCCACATGACTTTTCCCTGGATAGTGTGCTCCATTTTCGGAGTCCACTGTTGGACTTTCCTTGCAATGTAAGCGTTTCTGTCCTATGTGCGTCGGCAGGTGTTGCCCCGGACGAGCAAGCTACCAGTTTTCTTAGCTTCTTCTCTGAGCCAAATCATCTCTTTACCTTAAGTTTTTCCTGATTGGGAGCATTCAGGAGTTTTCAAGGTACTCGATTTTCTGCTGTACTCCAAAAGCCAAGAAACGTAACTCAGCCAAAGCAGTCCCCGCACGGACCCTTGTGATGTGGGCAGGTGGACATAAATCAAGCCCCAAACAGCTCCGCGGGTCCTGCACGCACCAGCGCCCTTGGTAATGACCAGCCAACTTTGAAAATGCCAGCGCTCCCCTGGCAGCCTCTGCCAGCAGAGAGAAAGGCAGCGGGTTCTCCCCGGCGGCCCGGTTACATACGCCCCCAGCCAGCCCCACGGAGGATCGGTCTTACCAGAAGGCGGAGGAGCCGCGCACAGGCTCTCCGGGTAGCGGCGCCGGTCCCAGGCAGTGGCAGCAGCACCGCCCGCGCAGCCAGACCCGCGCGTGGCCCCGACCCGGGCTCGCAAGCCGAGCATCCCTCCCAAGTCCTGTGTGCGGCACCCACCCAACCGGCGGAGAGAGCTCTCTCGCTGTCTCTCGCTCGCGCTCTCTCTCTTTCTCTGATTGGCTTCCATCAAAGCTACAGAATAAAAAAAAAAAAAAAAAAAAAGGAAAAAAAAAAAAAAAAAAAAAGGCATGCACAAACCGCCACCGCTGCAGCCAAGAGCCGGAACCCACCTCTGCTTGCCTTCCTAAGCCCGGGGAAGACCCTGCGACCCGCACAGGCTGCTCCTGCCGCCGCCGCCGCTGCGCTCGCCGGTTCTGCGGTTCTTGCTACCGCGGCTGAAACTGCAGCTCTTGGGATGGGAAGGTTACGGGCTCGGGAGAGCTGGCTCTTGTGGGCACACACTGATTTGCAAGTGAATGAAGTGGGAGGGAGCAGAGAGAGGAGGACTTTGTTCGAGAGGCCCAGCGCCTGCCCCTACCCGCCCCCTCCCCTTGACAGAATGACTCCCTGTGTTTGAAGTCCTGAGCAATTCGCTCCCTGTAACACTCCCTCAGCCCTAGGCTTTCCTTTCTTTTCCTTTCTTATTTTTTGGGGGGTTAAGACAGACTTAGAACTTATGTGACTCTGTCTGTTGCCTCCTTTATACTATCAAAATACCCCCCCCTGTGCTAGCTATTAGCAGCAAGGGTCTGATGCTCTTTTTTTTTAAATTATTTATTTATTTATTTATTTTTTTATTAAACCGACGGAGCAATTACAGTTCCCAGGGACACAGTATCTCCTCGGCTATCAGTTGGTCGGCTTCGTGTTATAGCACGCATAACATGCACACATCCTCACACACGCATAAAACAAACCTGGTCTCAGGAGATAACAGTACCAATGGCTTTTCTTTACAACATAAACAGGCGTCCTCCAGACGCAAGCAGACACAGATTCAGACGTGTCTTGCCTTCTCGCCAGCCAGGAAGACAGGTTTGTACATAGTCCTGTGATCTCCCGGACTCTTTTCAGAGTGAGTAATCCCAGGATGCTGTAGCATGAAGCCATGCTTCCCTGGGTTTGCAGAAACACGCGAAGCTCAGACCCTTCAGGCTCCCGTGACTGATGGCTGATTCCATCTTTCTCAGCGAGTTAATACAAGGATACCAAAGACGTGCAGAAGAGGGGTATAGAATGATATCCCAGGTCTGCTGGACTGTTTAAGATCTTTCAGAAAAGTTCCTAAAGTAGGATGACCTCCACATGAAACTCTTTGGAATGCATAGCAGTGTGAATAGCTGTATTTCCAGTTACAAAAGAAAGTCATTTCTAATATTAGGGTACTAAGCTGCAAAAATCTTAAGCATGTCAAAGTCTTATTAAATGAGAGTAATGGTTTTTCTGCATAGGAGATGTCGACATGATGGAGCCAGGCACTGTCGGATTAGGAAAATTAAATCTAATTACCATAGTGATTGCACCCGGGGTCAGCAACATCCCAAACCAGCTGTTTGTGTACACTGCAAATTCAAGGGGGAGATTTCCACAGCGTGGTGCTCAAAAACAAAATCCAGGCTGCTTTGGCCTCTGGGAGGTTAAACTGGTCAGAGGTTGGTTCCCTTCCCAACTGAAGCTCTTAACTAGAAAATCTTTTGTTTCTCCAATAGAAGTTGAGGCATTTAAATAAAGCTTAAATCAAAGTATTTCCTCTAGGCAGCCAGTGCTTCAAAGATGTGTGCATGGGATGGTTTTAGCACAGATGTTCCACACATGGAAGATGGAAAGACTTTGAGTTTCTTGAAAAGACCTTTCTCTAATGAAGACTTGCCACCAACTTACAAAAAGAGGCTGAGCATTTTGTCATGCAGCTCTTTAAACTCGTGTGGAGCAAGGAGAGGCAGAAGAAAGCTGCTTTTCATTCATCGTCCATTCCTCAGATTATGAATTTTCTTATACATTTAATTGGAAATACTAGCTCCTTATGTTTGTATAGTCCTTTACTGCTTACAAAGTATTTTCATAGACATTTTATTTAATTCTTCTTTCAACAAGTAGTGTGATTTTTCCCCCCGTTAGAACGGAGGAAACAGGTTGATGAAGAGATGGTATAGGTTAAATAAAATGTGCAATGCAATAAACCTGGTAAGCTGAAGAGACAGAAATATTACTGGTAAAACTGTGCAGGGGCATGTGTGTGTGTGTGTGTGTGTGTGTGTGTGTGTGTGTGTAGATACAATTATATAATTATAAGTATGCCAATAAAAATGTCACATTTCAGACTACCTTTTACAGAAAGATATGCAAACTGACTGATTTTGGTGGTAAAAGTGGGATAATAGTAAAGTTGATGTTCTCGTTGAAGCAGCTAATATCTCACAAAGGGAATCTCTAATTGTTTGCAACATACTATTCTTCAAACCCCATTAAGCCACATATCAAAGGTGATTACAACAACTACTTTTTATTAAGAATGGGTAAACAATCAATTATCTTCTTAACAGTTCAAATGGCAGCATTGAATTATATAAAGGCTAGCACTTTCATACTAGAAAAAGTTTGTTATGTGATTTTTGAGGATTTCTATTAACATTTATGACAACAATTATTAATTTCCATGTACACAATTGATGTACGTATTCAGAATTCTTTTATTCTCATTTCAGAGATAAGGACTGGGCATCACTAAGGTTGGGTGCTTGCCTGATGTCATGTAAGTACCGTTCCAGTTTATCGTTTGGCTCACCAAGCGATAACCGGCATGGAACAGAAGCTAGTTAGAGGTAGTTAAACACAAGAGGGGTCCTTGCTATCATCACGGAGGGTCTTCTCATGAACCTCGGTGTGGGAATTCTGCAGGGCCTCCAGAATAGCTTGGAAGCAGACCCTGAGAAGCCACCATCACTCTGCCCGGAGTGCTGCTTTCTTGGCCTTATGGGGTATCTGCTTCCGTTTTGTCTCCCTGCATACCTGCTTCCTGTCCTTCAGTCCACAGGCAGAGCAGCGCCACCCACAGTTCCAGATCTTACCTATTGGAAAGAGAGGGCGTTTCTCTTTCAGCGACATTGCCAGTTTCTTGGAAAGCAGCTCTGATTGGTCAAGGTGTTCCCCTGGACAGGTCTTCTGGGGCCGGGGCTGGGGCAGGAGGTGGTGGCAAAGCTTCCTACCCACTGGCTCTCCCAGCACCAAAAAGAGGGACAGCAGCTAGGGCGTAGCCTTGTGACCTGAGATGACATTCCAAAGAGTCTGCCCTTTTACGTAGCCTCTTATTTTGCTACAGCTGAAGCACCTCACCAGTTTTGGGGCTACTTCGTTATTTTATATGCTTCAGTAAAAATTACGTGTTCTTCTGTCCTTTTACAGCTTGCAAAGTTTCACTTCTTTAAAAAAAAACAAACCTCCTTCATAGACCATTACTAGGGATATTAATTTTGATGAGGGATTTTTCAACTTCCACTAAATCTCTCTTCAGATGATTAAGAGGCTATCTTATCCTTATAATGGGAATGCATATAAATAAATAATTGCTAGTTCTCTAACTTTACTTTCAATAATGTACATCTGTATGCAGTGATTATTGGATAAAAAACATTTTCATGATCATCAACAATTACTCTTGATTAGAAGAAAAAAGTTCACTTTTAAAGCCATGTGCCTAATTAAGAATCTTGGCATGGATGGCTTTGATTCAACCAGCCCAACCCTTCCATCTGAAATGTACTCTAAGTATGTTGATGCCAGAAAAAGTACACGCATTGCAGTGCATATTATGGAATCATCATGGATGTGTACACGTGGATAGATTTCACTGAGGGATATATGCCTATTCTACACCTCTGTCCTGTGTGTGTACGTGTGCGCATGTGCACATACACACACACACACACACACACACACACACACACACACACACACCAGTACCAGTGTTTAAGGTGGAAAAGAGGTTTAACCACTCTGGATATTATTGGACTGAAACAAAGGAGACAGGAAACCTCGATGGAATTCCCCTTTTGTGAGAGCCATGGACGTCTCAATACAAGCTAAAATAAATTCACATAAACTTCGTGTGCTTATCCAGGTTTTATAATCCTGGGAGAGTTTCCAGAACTGTATTTAAAAATGGGTTGGATCCCAGGATGCATTAAGACATTTACCTCTTGATCATTACATTTGACTCATCACTACAGGTAGATTAAAAAAGCCAGGAGGTTTCCAAATGAGATAAACACAAAGCACCAAAATGGTATTGACTTACAGGGATTTTAGTACTCTGGGAGTTCCAGGGTAGGTAGAGTGGACTGCAGTTTTTACTGACTTCTTTTTATATTTTACTTATGGCTTTGCAGTGGAATTCAAATTTGATCAGATGTATACAACTCAAGTTTTTTAGACTGTACCATGGCAATGAAGAGGTATATCCTTGCTTAGAAGAAACAGCCCAGTAAAAGGATATGCACCATATCAGTATATTCTTTTAAATAGCTGGTATAGACCAGAATAAACAGAAAATTCTGCTCTTGCATCTAGAGGGAAAAATATGTCCCTTCTTCCACAAACTCCTCTCCCAATTATAGAAGCCCTTGATGGGAAGAGTGGCAGGCTAGAGTGGGAAAGACAATATAATAGCATATGTTCAAAAATATTTTAGGATTTTGTAGATTGTGAGAGTCTAACAATTTTAACAAATTTTGTCAAAAAGAAGACAAGAAGACAAGGAAGACAAAAAGGAAAGAAGAAGATGATCCTCTGTATAGGTATAAGTGTTTTTCTTGGAGCCAGGTCCCACCTAGAGCCATCCGTTCCTTTTTATACAAGCATACTTAAATACCCTTTTCTCTTTTTTGCCACTTTTCTTGTGTTTCCACTGTTCTTTGTAAAACACCAATAGGACTTTAGCTAGGCCTCATTGTTTACATGGTCTTTTTTCATCTACTAGACTGTATATGCATTGAATTATTGAAGGTAGAGAATTTATCTGTTTGGTCATCGTTTTATCTCCTGGTGCTATAAAAAAGTGCTTGGTGCTTACATGTATGAATAAATAGAGATTCCGATAAACTATAATGGATTCAGTAGACCGAAACTGGAGACGGTTCATAGATATAAGATTATGCTTATGAACTAAAGGCAATAAGACAGGAAAAGAGAAGGTTCAAGTTGGCCATGAGCACTCTTCAGCTACGTGAGGAACTGTCCTATGGAAGAAATTAGAATGGCTTTTAATGTGATAGAAATTTCAATTAGTATCAGCTAGTGAAGCCACTGGACAATAAGGCATTTCATTGATTTTAAGACACCTGTATTTTCATATTTTAACATCTTTGGAATTTCGATGCTTCTTGCAATTGACATGATAAGAAAGTATCATGTCATGTTGTAATTGGCAGTCTCTCTTCTTTCTTGGTGACACAAAGTAATGGTGCAACTTACTACCGTTGGCTTCTTAGATCTGATGAC